TGCCTAATTTCTCTTTCTCAAAAAAAAAAAAATCGTATTCTTCACAAAATTTGCTGACGAGGCTTCGAGTATTCATTCCTTCAATTAATGTAATTTTGTGTTCCTTCGCTCTCTAGCATATGTCATCTCATGTGTTACTTTCCTTGAGGACATTTTCACACTTTAGAGCCCTTTTGCATTCAACTTTATCATTTATTAATCTCTGTATCTCTCTCTCTCTCTCTTTCTCTCTGTCTGTTTATATATTTATCTCCCCCTGTTTAACCGTACCTAGACCTAAGATAATCTTGAAAGTAAAACACTTAGCTGATCTCAACGCTAAGATGATCATCTTTAATTGGTCTAAATTTAGCTGATCTTAGAGTTATGATTTTTTTTATCTGTACATAGAGCTAAAATGACAGTATGCTTACCTGTACAAAGACTACGATAACCTTCCTCCGGCAGGCACGACGAGGGTAGAATGGCCGCTGACTTCGGTACAGAGGGTGTGTGTGGCTTCCGGAGGAGAGCTGGAGGACGAGGGCAAGATCTTTATCGTCCAGACAAGACCGTGAGTGGATAGTAGTTGAGGTAGTGTGATGGTGATGATGATTGTGGTAGTGGTAGTGATTGCGGTGACCGTGTGGTTGTGATGATTGTGGTGGTGGTAGTGATTGCGGTGACCGTGTGGTTGTGATGATTGTGGTGGTGGTAGTGATTGCGGTGACCGTGTGGTTGTAATGATGACGGCTGGGTAAAGGGTAGTGAAGGTGTGGTAGCAGTGATGTAAATGGTTTTAGAAAACCGTCAAATTGAAGAATAAGACACTTATAAAACATTAGTCAATCCTTATTGAGGTAACGTTTCGCCAGCCAGTGGCTTGTTCAGTCCATTACTGAGAAGAATGAAGGAAGATGAGGAGTAGTTTGTCTCATTCTTCAGGAGGTAACAGTGAACGAGTGAACGAGTGAACGAGTGAACGAGTGAACGAGTGCTACCTTCGTAAAGGTTACGTTAATTCATAATCATAGACACACAGAAACAATGTTCTGATTCTCCTTTAAGAAATAACAATGTACCATGTCAGGTTATAGTATTATTCTTTATTCATCGTCAAATGCGCCATAAATAAAACTTTATTATCGAACTAATAAGTTCGTAACGTCTTTGTTTCATTTATATTTTTTATTTCAATTACTTATACTTGCCTGAAAAAAATCACAACTCAAAAAGATCAAAACAAGTTTTTTAATATTTTTTTACAAGAGTAACAATATTTACGATATTAATATTATTAAATTTCGTAGAATCGTCTATTAATAATTGATGAGGTTTTTATTAGTAATTTTACTTCTAATAATCTCTGCTGCAGTTTTTATTTCCGCTGTCAATCTACTCTAAATGTGAAAAGTTTTAGGTCCGTAAGTTTCAGCTATAGTAAAGTCATGTGTTAATTGATGAATTAGACACATGTGCAACATTTGGGTATCTTGGGTTGCTTCTTCGGTCCAGTACATAGAGGAATGGTTGAAGATCAGGAGTTGGAGGTAATCGGTCCCTCAGCCTGGAGTCGATGCGATTAGTCCATCAGTCTTGGAAAGAGTAATTTTTTTTTTTAAGATTGATGGACTGATTGCATCGACTCCAGGCTGAGGGAATGATTGCCTCAAATTCCTTCTGATCTTCAACCATTCTTTTCTGTATTGGATTGCGGAAGCCACTGTTTGGCGAAACGTTTCCACAATACAGAATTGTACAAGTGTCTAATTCATCAGCCTGTCGGTTCTCTGAATCATTTATCTACATATGTTAACTGATTCATTTTTCCACAGGTGTCACCCGTGCGGTGAGGCTTGTCTCTACTTTTTCTCTCCGGAGCTGAGCTCTCTCTTGGAGGGCCTTCATGAAGCCGTGTCTGAGCTCATTTCCGCCTCAGCTGCTGATGATGTCTCCCTCATTAGTGACCTCTCCGAGCTCTCTGGCGCACTCAGTTCTGTTGTGGTGCTCCCACCGCGCCTGCCGGATCCACCGAAAATGCGCAAGTCGACCTCCGTGATGGACTTAGCACAGATACACGAGTTGCAGCCGCTTTGCAACGTGCACACACCACCTCGTCTCAGCAGCAGCCAGTGCAACCTGGCGGAGGAGTTTCGTGGAGAGCCTCCCCTGCCTGGCCGTCTCCTGGGGCATTCCCGTCGACGCTCTATGAGCGAGACCAACCTTGCCAAACTTTGCCTTGACGAGACCGACGAAGAGCTCGAGTCTCGAGACGACGACCTCGAGGACGCCGACCTCCGCCAAACAGACCTACCCAAGGACCGCACATCCTCCTCTGGTTCCTACAATTCTTATCGTTCTACAGATTCCGGAGTGCGGTTGTCAGCGTCGCCTTCAACGCATTGCGACGGTGGACGCTACATGTTAGAGAACACCTCACGTAGATACGTCACCAAGTCTGATTCCTTAGACTCTGGAGTCAGAACGTGTCTGAAAGAAGATGCACGCGACACTACAACAGAAGATGACAGGAAGATGGATTCTCCATGCACTGATGGGAAACAAGAGGGAAGACGCGGCATGAGTGCGCTGGAAGAGGAGCCCGATGTGGATACCAAAGTCGGTGCTTGGTGTTTGCAAAGCGCCCGAGCCAGAAAATCTTTCTTTGCTAAGAATCTGAACGTGACCTGCGCTGCTCATAAGGACAGAAAGAACAGACAGCTTAATAGGACGATGTCTGAGTCGTATAAGGAAATTTCAGACAAGCCTGAAGATTACAGAAGACTGTCAGAGCTACCTACTGTTCCCAAGACTTGCACCGTCTATGAAGAGATTGTGGATGTGTTAAAGCCACTTAGCACCGCTAACCAGCAAGCCAAGGAACATGACTACGAAGAGCTGGATAAATGCCGCAGAGACATAAAGAGAAGTTACAGCTTTCAGGAAAAATCGAAGCCTCCGCCTTTACCACCTAGACGACCAAAGTCTTTCTCACCGGACCCCTGGGCCGAGGAAGCGTTATCTAAATCAGGAACGCTAAAGAAAATATTTGGCTTTTCGTTTCAGAGCAAATCTCACTCAACAGATAGCATGCTCGATGTAGATACATCAGGTTATGATGATATAACCACCTTAGGCAGTGCAGACGTGGCACTGGTGCAAGCAATTGGCACTCTGCCTCGAGTCAGGAAGAAAATTGGGCCGGAGCGTCAGTCTAGTCGATCAGCATCCCCGAAAATGTCGCCAAAGCAAAAAGCGAGATCTCTTTTCGGTGTGTCTCCAAGTAGGTCTCCCATGATACCAAGACCCAAAAACCTCTTTCTCTTTAAGGGTTCTGGTAAAGATGACATTCAAATCTCGCCTCATTCTAAGATACCGTTTAGACTCCATCGACAATTTTCGCTTCAGACTCAGCGGACTCCAAGTACTGATAGTTCTTTAGCAGACATTTCCACTCCTGACACTCCCCAGACGCAGCAGCAGCAGCAGCAGCAGCAGCAAGGGTGTGGTCCTCGGCAGTACTGGCGAGGCGAGGCGTCTGGCACACAAGCACCAGATGCCTCTGGCTCTGGTGATGACACTACTGGAGGTATGGCGGGGAAAGACTCTTATGCCTTCCTCAAGTCTCCGAAGTTAATGACAAAGACGTTTAGTTTTTTAAAGAAATTTCCAAAAGAAAAATCTGGATCCTTAGAGAGGCAGCGCAAGTCTGGCATTAATTTCTTGCCCCCTCAAGAACTGGTAACAAAGTTTCCCAACAGCTACTCCATGGACAGCTTCGCTGTGGAGAAAGGCTCACAGAGTTGCGGCACGCCGGTCCGCGACACAGACGCAGATTGGGGTGATGCAGATGTCGTTCCTGGCTGCCGCCTTCGCTCCATGTCCTACCTACCACCTTCTTCTCCGGCCATTAGGATTCCATTTCACGCTCACCATGATTCCACCACCACCACCCCAGCGGGGACTCCTACAAGCCATTCCTTCAGTCCACTTCGGAAGCTTAGTTCTCCTCAACCATCAACGGAGCCTTTGTCTTGGAGGGAAGAAGGGTGTTGGAAGGAATGTGAATCTCGACTGTTGCCAAGTGGCCACCCACTGCCACCCCCCCGTGAGCCTCCCCCTCCTCCCGCTCCTCACGAACCCCACTACGCTAACCTTCCCCACCATTCGCACGACCCAGATTACATGTCTATGGAAGAAGTGCGAGGCGCCTTCAGACGCATTTCCAACGCCTCCGTTGCCGAGAGCAGGCGGGACAGTGGTGGATACTTGTCTATGGGCGAAATTCGGTCTTTTCAGAGGGCGTGCGAGACGACAGAGTGTCCAGGATGCAGCGTCCAGGTGAGTAATATTACTCACCACGACTGTCAGCCAGAAAGGGAAACTCATGCAGAAGACCACGAATACATGACGATGGACGATATACAGTCGGTTCTCCATACAGAGTTCCCTGCAATATATTCTTCATCGGAGGAGAAAGATATGTACAAAGGATGCGGCTTCAAAAGTGCACCGTCAAGCCGCAAGACTTCGTACTCTGAGGGTTCGGACTACCTGACACCGCAGGAAGTGGGTCGCATGATCCGACGGGAGGTGCTAGCTATAAGACGAGGTAGAGAGTCCACAGGAGAACTCACTCACCATCATCATACCCAGCAGCAGCAGCAGCAGCAGCACCACTATGACTACGAACCTCATCACCACCAGCACGAGCCCCACCACCACCACCACGAAGTCCATCACCACCCTCAGGACGCTCCCCAACACAAGCAATACCATCACCACTAACACCAACACCAACTCAACCACAACAACATAGTCAAGAACATCAGTACCTGTCTTACTCTAAACCCAAGAAGCGTCTGCAATGTCTCTGGAACATATTGGAGAGGAAAAAATACCTGTGGAATACCAACCCTTTGGCCTTAGGACCACCAAGCTCATAATTATGCATTATGTGCTTTTTATATACATAGACATTTCACATGTAATTTATCCATTCACCATTATGATTATCTATGTTATTCATGCCAACACACTTATAACTCTAGGTCCAAGGGGAACACTGTACCAGTATATTATAGTAGATAAATGTACAGTAGTTGTTGTTTTCTAATATTCTGAAGACTTTGGAACATTCCTGTCTGAATGGTACAGTGGTGGTTGCAACATTTCCCCAGTGCCAAGACTCACACACGTATCTGTCTCCCAAGCTCAAGTCGTTATATCTAGAAGAGTGTGTTAGACTCTCTCCTATGGGTTAGTTGTCCTTGTTTGGGACAGAACTTTTGTGTACACGAGTAATTCTTTGAGAAAGTTCTTCCTCAACCCCCCCCCCCATCCTCCAATTTATTTTCCCAAAAGCCAAAATATTAATGATTATTAGCAGCGCCCATCCCTCTTCTCCCGTACCATGGCGGGTGTGTATGCTGCGTCCTGCGCACGCATTTGTCTTGTATGTTTTTTTTTTTTTCCTTCACATCACTGGGTATTACAATTTTGATGGATTAACATTTGAGTCATAGATTAGCTTTGTAAATTTTATGTGACACAACGACCGTAGGATTTTAATATCAAGCTTTTACAAGTGTTTACAACGTCACCTCTTCTGATGATCTGGGTTGGTGCAGTTCATCCCTCGACTCGGCAGAGGTTCGATCAGTGCTTCGTCAGGAGGTGACGTGAGGGAGGATGAGAGGGCGTTTGTTGTCACCTGAAGGGAAAGCGAACGCTGTGTTAATACGAGCGAGAGAGAGAGAGAGAGAGAGAGAGAGAGAGAGAGAGAGAGAGAGAGAGAGAGAGAGAGAGAGAGAGAGAGAGAGAGAGAGAGAGAGAGAGGAAGAGAGGGAGAGAAAGGAGAAAGAAACCCGCTTCTTCACCCGCTAATCGTGGCCCTGTCTCTGACCAATCACAGTGTTTGTAATCTTCGCGTCACCACTGAAACCTTTTAAAATCTCGAGTAACTGCTTAATTAAAAATAGCCTCTGAATTTACATTAAGATATCATTATAAATTAAGTTAAGAAAATGTCTTATACTGTGACTACAGTTAAAAATTGTACCGTGACCACAATGACTTAAACAAATTATTTGGTGACAGTAAATACGTGTTGCTTGGTGCTCTTACGATCTCGTGGATAATAAATAAAAATAATTCTCTAATCTGTAGTTAGTAAAGCAGAGGTAACTACAGGGCCATGACGGGTGTACTCACCTAGTTGTGGTTGCAAGGGGTCGAGTCATAGTTCCTGGCCCCGCCTCTTCATTGGTCGCTACTAGGTCACTCTTCCTGTTCCATGAACTTTATCATACCTCTTCTTAAAGCTATGTAAGAATCCTGCCTCCATGTGTGTGTGTGTGTGTGTGTGTGTGTGTGTGTGTACAGGACAACATAGGACAGGATCGTAATTCACTAATTTTACTGAAATTCAGACGAGGTCAGTCTAAATGGTCTCTGGTCAAGTCATTGATTATTAGTATCAATACATTCAAGGGGACGTGCGTGTCCTGTGCGCGTTTGATCCGAGGAAGAGGAGAGCAGTTCCAATTCCTTTAATCAAGAATCAATCACCAGCATTAAGGCACATCTCTTGAAAGGTTAAAACAGTGGCACTGGCACTCAAGGAAAACTAGTTTGGTCACTGAATATTTTTATTATGATTGGCCAATAATATCATATATCGTTGTATTATTGACCGTATATGAGTCAAGAGAAGCCGTTGGGGGCCATAGTTTATCTCAAAGGTTTTCGTTAATCAAATTAGCAGAGATCAGGACAAGTGGCATAGCATGAAAAAAATGTCGTTTTCATGGTCGTTTATTCCAAGATTTTTAGTCATGTACCGTACTCGGAAAAGTAAATCTAAAACATCAGTTGGAATTCAATTACATTAAGGAGTAGGAGACTCCCTCCCGCAACTATCTCCAAGAATGGGCTGGAGAGGTGACAACGTACTGTTTTCCCCCGTCACATACACAGTGTAAAGATGGTATATGGGTTCAGCCAGAGTGCGAACTCACATTTTGCTCAAGTCGGCTCAAGCATAATGTCGTGTTCCGACGACATTCAGTTGAAACTACAAGATGACTACTGCTTCATTTGCAGCAGATAATCAACTGCAACCTCTGCTCTTACCCCAGTTTTTGAGATGTTTCTATAACTACTTAATATATTATTATTATTATTATTATTATTATTATTATTATTATTATTATTATTATTATTATTATTATTATTTTATCATTATTAATTCAATTACAGAGGACCAGTTAAATAGGTTTCATTAAGAGCTTGGAGAACCGAAAGCGATCAGGATGGAGCCAAACAGAAGGAGAGTTGCTACAGTTCAGTGGATCACAGCGCCTTTATGAGCATCAGAACACCCAACCCCGTATTCCCTCTGTGGAACCAGTTGATAATCAGAGCCTGACGCCAGACCCTGCGAGAGATGCAGGTCCTACGAGAGAGGTAGGTCCTGCGAGAGACGCAGGTCCTACGAGAGAGGTAGGTCCTACGAGACATGCAGGATAAACGGTGGTATGGCTGTGTGTGTTGTTAAATTAATTAACGTGTCGAGTCATGGGTATAATAGTCCTGGCATCAGCCGCTTGTTAATGCCGCCGCTGGCACGATTTTGCATCCGTTGAGTGTATCACATTTCTTCGCGTCAATCTTCTCGGTGTTTGTTTATCAAGACCAGCTGATTCACAGATAATATTTTTCGATGTCTCTTGGTTGTACGGGAAATCTGGGCGCAACATACCCTCCCCCCCATGCATTTTCGAATCAGCTGACTTGTTAGATAATCTATTTTCATGTTAAAAACCTCATAACAGTATGTGTCATGACTGTGAATCTCGCCACATCGTCATGCAGTGTATATTATATCATCAATTTTGCATGGACCGACGATATTTACACAATTTTTATATTAGATAACTGTTAGTCAACCTATTTGTTGTGTAGCATTTTACTGTGTTGGTTAATAATCTCAATGACCTAACCATTTATATGTATGTATTTGTATATTTTGCCAGACGAATGTATAGCAGTAAAGGTGACTTTGTCTGCTTTGAAATGCTTTGATAATTTTATTCACTTTGATATCTTGCTAAGTGGAAAAAGAAGAAAAGCGTAGTGTTGATCCACTAAACTGTCGTGGATTTGAATTTTTTATACTAGAAACGCGAATATGTAAAAAAAAAATATTTTTGAGAAATTTGTTAAGCTGGTATTTTTGGGGAGAGTTTATGACAACCCGCGAAGCTGGTCATTACAACGATATATGAGAACCTGATGTGAATGTGGAATGTACGTTTCTACGGACTTAAAGGAAAGAAACAGTTCGTTAAGGTGGCGAAGCGGAGTTAGTCTTGCGTGAGACGATCATCTTAAAATAATTTAAACCCACATTTCTCAGGAGTGAGAGAGGAAATAGTCGAGAGAAATTAATTATCTGGGGAGAAAATCACCTGGTTTGTCTTGTCCGAAGACAACATCATTAGTGAGCTTAGGACAACAACAAAAGCGAGTCCAATACATCATCATTAGCGAGTTCAAGACAACAACATAAACGAGTCCAATACAACAACATTAACGTGTTCTAGGCAGCAGCAGCAGCTGCACCAAGAACATGAGCAAGTCCACGTCAGCGGGTCCATGACGGAAACATAAAAGGAGTCCGAGTCAATGTGAGGGTCCACGTCAGCAACAGGTGTCCTGGCGAGTTTCTAAGCAACAACACACTCCAGTGAGTCTATAGCATCAATTATCAACACATCGTTGTCCTGCCCACCATCTACATCGTTTAGTCCCTTGAGAGTATCAGAAAAAGCTCACGAGAAACTGTATTATCGATACAGAATCAAGTGATGGTGCGAATATTAAAGATGATTGAAGAAATCCTTCTAGCATTTACGCGTTACCCTCCGAAGGTTCAAACCATCGCCGTTCCATCGTTATTTCGCCAACGGGTGTCCCATTTACGCTTAAAAGTGATGCAAAATGAGAGAGTGAGAGATAAATAATCACTGGGGAAGAAGGGAAAAACATGCACTTAAACTCAATCTGAAAATAGAAGATATATGCGGATTCCAAACTTAGTCTCAAGACCCACAATTCAACCGACGACCAGTCATTCTTAAATACATTCAAAACATTCATTTACCTGGTCTATTTTTCGCGAATCATCAACTTGCCTCGTTTACTAATCTGCCTTAATAATCTCCCTATTTATTCTACAAGTCTGAATCACCATATTTCAGTTTGGTCAGTCACATCCGTAAGTCATCTGCCTGTTTTGAGTTCCTAACGTCCAAAACTGTGCATATAAGCCCCGGAAGACTTAAATTCACAATACCACGGCTGGAATAATTCACGAATCACCCACACTTTGATGAAGAAACCTTAGGCCACGTTTCGGTTCCATCCTGGACCATATCACGGCTGTGACTCGGTCCATGATGACCTTAACGATGTCTGAAGCTTCGATGTCAAGTTTCGAGTTCTCCTTGATCTCTTCCTTGCCTTGAACGTCTGCTGCCCTTGACCATCCACCTGCCTTGAGCATACAAATGTTCTAGTAATTTATAAACTATTCCGACGAGCTATTGACACTTATCTATCTGGAACAAATAAATGAATGACTGCCCATTGAAGCCCAATAATCAGAAACCCAATAGATCTAGTATACAGGTTTTTTCTCCGATTAGCAGACTATCAAGAAGTGCTGATACCCTGGTCATCTTTATTTTAATAAAGCTTCACTGTAACTAGTAAACAGAGCTTGTAAAAGTGTAAACAAGCATCAATACAGAGGCAGGCAACACAAGCTCAACAGATCGAGAGCGTTGATTGGTGTTAAGAACTAGGCAACACCACGAGATAAACAGAGGGCGTTGTTTAATGTACTGGGAATCTCGTAGCACACACAAGATAGGCAGTGGGAGTTGATCAGAGCGTTGAACAGCGGGATACACCCTCAGTATTTTTCATTGCATTGACTTGTGCATTAATAACCTAAATGCTCATACCACGGGCGGGATTTGAACCCGCGGTCAGAGAGCCTCTGACCGCGGGTTCAAATCCCGCCCGTGGTATGATTTGTTTGCAATCGTGTCATTACGATTTCGTGAGTCAACCTAAATGATACTAGACTTCAGCTCCACAGTATTCCCATCAGTTGGCTTACCCTGACTGCTGTTGTTTGAATGACTGTTGACACTGGTCTCAGCTTTTGTTGCATCGCTGCCGAGGCCTGTACTCTCATCCTTCTGCTGACAACTGGCTTTAATGACTTCAAGCTCTGATTATAGCGAGCAACTGGCTAGTAAGTCACCAAGAAACCTTTCTGGTTTGCATATAATTACCAAACCTATGTCAGTTTTACTTAATGTTTGTAAGGCAGAGTTCTAGTGCTAGGCACATCAATATTTTTTTTTCTTTACAAATTTCATAGGAAGAAAGGGTGCTATTGGAGCAGGTGTATTTACTAAGAAAATTTAGTGGTTTGCACAAGAAAATATATGCAACACTTAAGACAATTTATTAGGATGCGTTTCGCCCACTGGAAACCTTTATCGAAGCTTCACCCCTGTTAGTGGGCGAAAAGTCTTATTAAAATGGTCTAAGAGTTGCATTTGTGTCTTTATTCCTAAATAGAAGGTTAATACAAGGTCATTTAGAGCAGAGCAAGCCTTTATTAAGGTGACATTTTCCTCAAGAAGAGCTTTATCAAGGTTTGATAAAGTTCTTGAGCGAAACGTTATCCTAGAGTCTTGAGCTGTTGCAAGTGCCTTTGTATTACCACGCACTTTCTTTTTTTTTTCTTTTTTTAGTGATTAAGACAGTATGTGGCTTAAGGCATAACATTGAGACGATTTATCCACAAGAGACTTCATCAATTCGCCGAGGATTGATAAATAATCCCTGGTGGGCGAAACGTCTTCTCAATAACATGCCATAAACGCATACTGCATCTTAGTCACGTGTTTGTCGGTAATGCTAACCACTGATATACAGGTGTGTTCTTACAGCACTCAGCATTGTAGCATTAATGCGATTAATAATCAGAAATAAAACATGTCAGCTATTTGTAACCTTGGAGAGATTTGACGAGGAGGTGTGTTTAGTTGATCTCACTGAGAAGAGATTAGTCTTGTCGGAATCCCAAGACTGGAGGGTGGGTTTCCAGTCCCTAGAGTGGAGGGTGGACCTCCGATCCGTACAGCGAAGGGTAGGTCTTAAACCCTTAGTGTGGCGCAAAGGTCTCCAGTTCTTATAGAGGAGGGTTGAATTCAAGTTCTAGGAATGGATGGAACGCCTCCAGTAGTAGGAAGGGATCGTAGCAGTGGATCATAACCCTCCAGGCTTGAAAACGAGGATCAGGTGTATTTTGCTGTTAAAATCCATAGTTAGAAGTAAAGGGAGCGCCAACTTACAGACGATGGTCTGTCGAAGTAACACCGGCTTCTTGCCTGTGCGGTGAATCTTCGTGCAAATCCTTGAACTGAAGCTGGCCTTTGAACTAAAACTGGCCCTCGAGTAAGAGATAGTTTTGACAGTAAGGAGGTGATCCTTGACCAGTGGCTATAACTCAGTGCTTGATATGCTGTGCCGATAACTGAAGACTTTCCTCAAGTTATTGCTCGAATGAGACATAGCAGCTGACCCTTTAATACAAGTTCGCCCTTGAAAGGATATTGCCCCTGAAGTGTGAGATGGTGGTTCTTGAATGAAAACTGGACCTCAAGCGCCGAGTTCGAGTACCACCTTGAAATGTGCCAACTACATATATTATATATATATATATATATATATATATATATATATATATATATATATATATATATATATATATATATATATATATATTATATACGTATATATATTCCATACATCTACATACAACTGGCCCTTGAGTGGAGGCTAGCGACCCCTTAGAGTGGGCTGGGCCCTCATGGGGCATGTGGAATTTTTGAGAGGTGCCAACAAGTGCCAACAAGTGCCAACAATGACCACCCAGAGGTAGTAGGTGTTTCTTCCAAAGCTTTTTAGAAATCACAGATGTTGGTAGACCAGAGTCCACCAACATTCACTTCTGCCCTACCCGATTTCTTAATAAAACAAAAAGATGTCTTTATTTGGCAGTTTTATTGTTCCTTTACTGTTGTAGAGAGAGAGAGAGAGAGAGAGAGAGACATACAGATATCATTATTTCATTCACAATTTCTGGAATCAAGAGCCCTGGGCCTGTATCAAGGCGCCCTCTTAGAGAAAGATTCTCTACAAGATAAGTTGAATTATTGATTAAGAAAAAATTAAGATAGTGAAATAAAAGATTAAAAAAAAAGCTAATGAAGATACAGACATTAATAAATAAACAAAAGAGAATAAAAGCACTGAGAGAAGTGTGAGGTGTCTCATAACTATATTTGTATGTCTCATAACAATAAAATACTTTCAGATGAGCTGATGTAGGTAACATCTCTTATCTTGTAAATAACGTTAGGAATGCTTACCCTAACCTTGTAAAACCCTGTGTAAAACAAAAATAAATGCAATTTGCAGAGGGTAACTTTATCGAGACGTTTCGCCCATGGAACAGGCGAACAGTTTGGAGTCTTTCCGCACGCATGCGTTCGTCCACAGCAAGTGGAAACAACGAATAGAACACACAAGGCCCGCGGCTGTGTGGTGAGAAATAATCCTTGTAAATAATATCGCTCGTTTACGAAAGGTTCGTTAGGAAAACAGGACAAGTGTTTCCTGACGCGGGTCTTAGTCATATGATGACCAGCAGCTGGAGCTTTCGGTCATCTAATCGAGGCCTACTGCTGGCTTACCCTATCTATCCCTTTAAAAATTATGTATGTAACCCACCCTATGTGATGGAATATGACAGGGGGAACATTTTTATTCACTGTGTAACTGTAATACAGAATTGGGTAACAGTAAATAGTCAGAGTCAGTCTGCTTTTGATGGTAATACTTATATATGCATTTAGCTTTCCTGGGTTAGCAACCCAGGAAAGCCAATCAGCGTGGCTTATTTCCATTGGGGTTCTTTGGTCCTCTACCCCAGGATGCGACCCACAGCTGTTAGCTGACACTCAGGTACCTTATTTACTGCTAGGTGAACGGGTGAAAAGTAACACGTTCATCGTTCCACTCGTGCCGGAATCAAAGTTGGATCCTTCAGATGTGAGGAAAAGCCGCTACCACTTAAACCAGAAGCCCCCTGTTTCGAGTCGCATGCTGGAGGAGGATCGAAAACAGTACCCAAATAGATATAAGCCACAATGTTTGACTTTCTTGGGTTATCTTGGGTTGCTAACCCTCCAGCGTTGCTGATTCGATGTCTTCTTCAACGAGCAGATTAATGAACGCCCACTGGAAATAATCCAGTTTGACGACAGTGGCTTTGTTGAATAAGTTTATTCAGGTACACATCATAACAGTTACATAAATTATCGTACACGGCAGCATGTGTAGATTACCTGTCCTGAGTTACGGAAACAAGGCGTTTCCAGTGAAAATAAATCACTGACTTTTTTGGGGGGTTATCCTTGGTAATTTACACTATGTATGATAATTGTACTTATGTGCTCTTGTGTCCAAATAAACTTTCGGTGCCCCGTGGCCTGGTGGCTAAAGCTCTCGCTTCGCACGGCGGCGAGTGTCTGGGTTCGATTCCCAGCGAGAGTAGAAACACTGGGTGTGTTTCCTTGTACCGGTTGTCTATGTTCATCCATCAATAAAATGGGTACCTGAGTGTTAGTCGACTGGCGTGGGTCGCATCCTGGGACAAAACTGACCTAATTTGCCCTAAATGCTGTGCATAACAAGCGGCTTTCTATATAGTAGTATGTCATTGATGTCAACTAGGCCTGTATACCTTGTACATGTACTTGTAGAAATAAAGATATTATTATTATTACTAACAGTCCAAAAAAAAAAATTTCTTCTTATATTAGTTATTACTAAAATATTTATACATTTTCTTTTATTTTGTATTATTGAGAGCATGGTGCGTCTCAATAAAGGTGTAACTATGTTATTTCAATGATGAAGACGGTCACATAAATAATCTTTATTTCTACAAGTACATGTACAGTATACAGACCTAGTTGACATCAGTGACATAGTACTATGTAGAAAGCCGCTTGTTATGCACAGCATTTCGGGCAAATCAGGTCAGTTTTGTCCCAGGATGCGACCCACACCAGTCGACTAACACCCAGGTACCCATTTTATTGATGGATGAACCTAGACAACCGGTATAAGGAAACACACCCAGTGTTTCTACCCGGCCAGGAATCGATCCCTGACCCTCAGCGTGTAAAAAAACAGCTTTTGCCACCACGGTGACCTATGTGTAGATTACCTAGGATAACCCATAAAAAGTCAAAATGATAGATTGTTAGAGATTGAAGATAAGATAAGATTTGTTTGGATTTTTAACCCAGAGGGTTAGCCGTCCAGGGTGTAACCTACGAAAGTCAGTGCGTCATCTGGCACTATCCGTCTTATTTCCATTGTGGACTTTCAGTCTTGTCCCCCAGGATGCGAACGACACCACTCGTGCTGGGCGAGCACGGACAGCATGTGTAAGGAAATACCCCCAATGTTTCTACCAGTGTCCTTGGTCGAACCACGGACACTCACTGTGTTAGGCGAGAGCTATGCCAGAGGATCAGTGACCCAAGATAATCGAACGCAGTCACTGTCATCAGTCTACCAGGCTTATTTCCACTAAGTTCCTTGAATGCTCGTTAACCCCCCTGAATGCGACTCAACAGTCACCTGACACCCAAATACCTACTGACTCCTAGGTGAACAGGGGCAAGAGGTATTAGGAAACACGCCTAACGTTAGGTATTACACACCTAACATTTTTTTCAGAGTGGTTTGAGAGCACACTTAAATGATATATCAGGTAGATTTAACCATACCCAGGCCGGGATTGAACCCGCGGTCAGAGAGTCTCAAAACTCCAGCCCGTCGCGTTAGCCACTAGACCAG